GTTCTATGAGGTATAAGATAAAGAATGGATCAGTTTGAAGATTTCTTCCTGGAACTGGAGTATGAAGACACAGAGGAACCCCAGCCCTACAAGTTTGAGTGGCCCTGCAAATGTAAGTTCGAGTGGGACCTGGTCGATATGAGGAGTATGTGTTGGAAGTGTGGTCGCGCGATCCCCCGCCCGATCGATAGCGGTGTAGGTGATTTCGACGCATGAAACTCTGGCCGCCAGTATGGTAAGGTGGAGCGCTTTCCTCAACCCCAATGCCCTACCAAGACGATTCGAGGCCACCAGTGTACACACCCATGCCAACCGCGTATAGACCTATGCCTAAGACACTTGAAGTTTTCGAAGAGAATACAACCATACTCGTTACCCCCATTGTTTCAACAACTTTTTAAACGCTAAATGAGAGATATTTTTTCAAACGCTATAAGGTGTTTGGAAAAACGTCTATAAACGCTATGGGGCGTTCACACCAATGCTTAGGGGATTTCACACCAACGCTATGGGGCGTTTAACAGCGTTCGATCCTATAAATAAATGACGTTTATCAAGATTATCGACCCTAAGCAGCGTGAGGCGCTTGCCAGGTAGTTGCAAGACACCAAGCGGAAAATTCAAGCCAGTAATATGCAGCATCGCCTCGACAAGATTGGACTTAGCCGAGACCTTTCCAAGGTGTTTAAGCCTGTGGTTGAGGCTCAGCGAGAGGTAGCTTCACAGATCACCAAAACGATCGCAGACCTTCCTGCAGCAGTGCCAGCCCTTCCTCCTCCATTGCCCGAGTTTACCGATCCACTACCCATCGCACCACCTACAGACACCGCCCTTGGACCCCGAGCACGGCAGTATTTGCAGCTCAGTATGACTCCTTCCGCCGACCACACCTTTGGATTGCGATCTGAAAACGATAGTATCTTTATCGGAATCTCACAAGTTACTTTTGACGGTGATGATATTTTCGTGGATGGTGTGAGGTACAAAGGAACCCTTGGCCTCTGGGAACTCATGGTGAAAAAGAATCCAGAATCGTTCGAGCCCGAAGACCTAGAGGACTATGCACAGATTCTAAAAAGTTCCGGTGTCATGTATCAAGGCAATTCCACCCTCTCGAGAACCCCGAAGGCGAATAAGGGTTACAAGTGGAAGGAAATCGTGTCCCACATCTACCAAAAGAATAAGTTTGGCAGTGGGCTGCAAACCGTGTTTTTACCTTCGAACTTCAAGCAGCTTCTCGACCGCTTGGAACTGTGTGCCGCAGCATACCTAGCAGGAACTAATGGTGTGCGCAACGAAATTGTGTCGATTATCGATGCTATGAAAAAGGGTAGACATATCAGCATCGAGGAATATAAGGCGCTTGGTCGTAGCATCCTATAAATAAGTGTTAAAAGGTTACGCTCGAAAGTACGCCTACGGTGGTAGAGGACTGTTTGACACAATCGCCAGTTCGGCTGAACATATGTTTACTTCCTCTGCCGCCAAAACCCTAGGAAGTAAGGCAGTGAGTGCTGCCACCAATGCAGCCTGGAAAGTGTTGAAAGGGGCCTCCAAAGCCGTCGACCATGTGGTTGATAATGTGACCCGCACCAGGAAACACAATAAAACCCCCCAAAAGTCAAGTGTTCAACGCAAGAAGCCAGAGAAAGTTCGGTTGAACAATCTTATCTTTGGCTCTGGTATCAAAACCATCCACGACTTCGTCCAACGCTATAAATAAATACATTATGTCTGACATCCTTACAATCACCGAAGGGTTGACCTTCGACGAAAGTCTCTAGGAATATCAGGATCGAGAATACGAACCACAAGCCAGTGCCCAGCTGAACAGTGCCGATTCTGAAATCCGAATCAACATCGAAACCCAGGATTTGTTCCTACACTTCGCCGAGAGTTATCTCTTGGTAGAATTTCGAAGGACGGCTCCTAATGAACGACGGCACTGCATATGCCGACGCTGATCTCGTGTCCCTCGTCCATAATGGTATCATGTATCTCTTCAGAACCATCAACTATCGACTCTAGATCTCCGGCCAGCAAATCGAGCACATCAACGACCCCGGCGTCGCCACCACCATGATGGGAATGTTGACCTACCCCGACGACTTTTCCAAATCACAAGGTCTCAACGAACTGTGGTTCAAGGATTCCTCCACCGACGCCCATGCAAACAACACCGGCTTTGTAGCGCGCCGTGACTACATCATTGCCAAGCCGGCGAACAAAGGGTCGTTTTCAATCGCCATCCCCCTGAAGCACATTTTTTGGTTCGCTGATGACTACGACAAGATCGTGTACGGGTTAAGGCATGAAATCACACTCATGCGCGATTCAGATACACATGCCATCCTGAGGGACCAAGCCGTCGACGTGGGAAAAGTTGTCCTGCGTAAGATCTCATGGTTCGTCCGCCACGTCACTCCTTCAGACGAAAACAAGATGCAGCTATACAAGACTATTCAGAGTAAAGCGAAGATCAACTGTGGATTTCGAATGAGGCAGTGCGATTCCATAGCTGTCCAAAAAGCCTCACAGTTCAGCTGGCGTTTATCTGCCAAGAGCGGTCGCGAGAAGCCCAGGTACATCATCGTTGCCTTCCAAACCGAGAGAAGTGGGAACCAGGAGCGCAACGCTGCCGTGTTCGATAACTGTCGATTGCAAAACACCCATGTCACTCTCAACGCTGAACGCTACCCGGCCGTCGACTACAATGCCGTTTCCACCGAAAACAGGGTAGCCAGAGTGTTCAAAGAGGCTGCTAAATTCATGAAGAAATTCCTCAACATGGACACCCTCCTCAGCAACGGAGGCATCAACCCCTCTGACTTCATCGATCTGTACTCCTTGTTTGTCATTGACGTGAGTCACCAGTCCGAGCGGCTGAAAGAATCCACGGTGGACATTCAGATCCGGGCCCAGTTCGAGCGTAACGTGGAGGCCAACACCAGAGCATTTGCACTTATCATTTCCGACAGAATCCTACAGTTTGAATCCGATGGTCAGAAGATGAACGTTGTGTTCTAAAAGTTCAAAATGGAAAAAATTTACCTACAACTCCTCTTTGCCAGCCGCCCTGCCGAAGTCTTTGCGATCGTGGTGAAGACTGGTAGACAACTCAAGGAGCAGTATGACGGTATCGAAGAGTGGAAGCAAAAATATGTGACAATGGTGTACCATAAATAAATGGATAACACATTTTTGAGACGAATTGCAAACAACACTGACCCCAAACAGGGGTTCTCGTTCATCGTCTCTGGAAACGATAGTCAAATCCTTACCTGGTTCAACCCCCCCCCCCCCCCCCCCCCCACTGGAACTCAAGGAATCCAAGACCTATGAGATGGCATTAGTGAACCTGGAAACCTATAACTCCATCCCCAACATTCATTCAGGTAACAATTCCTTCCGCTACTCCCCCGATGATGGTGCCAACTGGTTTCCCATCGCACTGAGCACAGGTTCCTATGACATCGAAGACATCAACAATGAGATCCAGCGGCGGCTACGGCTCAACAAACACAAAACAAAGATCATCATCGATGCCAACCGGGCGACCCTAAGAGCAACGCTAACCCTCACAAGACACTATCGAGTAGACTTCAACGTTGTCAATAGCATCAACACCGTCTTGGGATTCAAGCGGCAGATTTACACATTTGATATGATCACAGACGGCTATACAGAAGGGGAACACATTGTAAATATCATCAGCATCAACAGCATTCTGGTGAATAGTGATATCATCCATAGAGATAGAAGTTATGTGAATGGTACACAGCAGTCTACCATCAGCAGCTTCTTTCCAGCAGACGGTCCTGGTATGAAGATCATTCAAACCCCCAAGAATCTAGTATACTTGCCGGTGACCTTGCGAACCATCAATCGCATGCAAACGTATCTCACCGATCAAGATGGTAGGCCCATCGATTTCAGGGGTGAACATCTCACCATCCGCTTTCATCTTCGTGAGGTATAATTAAATGACTTATCACGAACATGGTTTGAACTTGACAAAAGTTCAAGCTGATAAACTACAACGGGCTGTCAAGCAAGGTTGTCCGGTCTCCATTCGTTTGTCCCACGCAAACCTGCAAGGTGAACACAAGATGTGGCTCACCTCTCGGCATATTCAAAAGATTATTAAGCTTCTCCAGAAAGGTACTGGTGGTATGAATCTGTAGCTGAGTGCCGCCCAAATGAAGGAAAACGTGCAAAAAGTAGGTGGATTCCTACCCATGTTGGCAGGGCTGGTAATGAGGGCACTTCCCATGGTAGCTAAGACCATTCTACCTGCTTTGGGTGTTGGAGACTTGAGCGGTCTGGGTGGTGTAGCCATCAACAAGGCATTATTGTCTGGATTGTACCTGAAACGTGGTGAGTGTGTTTGTACCGTGAAACCTAGTGGCAACAGTCTGTACCTCAAACCATCAAACGCCCAGATCACCTATGGTGATGGACTCTACTTAAAGCGTGGTCAGCAATTCCACGACGGAGCCGGTCTGATCTTAGGTGCTAACAGCCCCTTCAAAAACATTCCCCTCCTCGGTATGCTCCTATAAATAAATGGATGATTTAGATTCTGGTTCACAAAATCCTTGGTTGAACAATGTATTAGTACTGCTTTGACTGATGATGAACAAATTGATGATGCTGAGTTTGGTAAGATCACAAGCTGCCTCAAGAACTACTATGATGAGAAAGATCAGCTGCGACAACCTTCCACCACTTTTAGTGAGGACCTTAATGCGCATGCGCCGTAAAAACGTCACACATCATTTCATTACGCTTCACTACACACATCGTTTCACGATGTGTTCCGTTCTGCTTCACTTCACGATGTGCTCCGTTTCAAGCATAAAAAAAAAACACAAAAAAAAAAAAAAAAATTCCGATCCGGCAGAAATATCGGATGGAAATTTGTTTTGTACCCCATCCAACCCATTTTTAATTTTTTTTTTTAATTAATTTCTTACAAGATCGCAAGAAAAGTACTCCTGTTTGGTCATTTTACTAACTTTTAAGCCTTTACTTCTCACGAAGGCTCCTTCCAAGGGTTCCTTCTCTCTGTTCAGACTACTGCAGGCCCATACTCTTGTCGTTTCTCCTTCTCTGTTTTTCAAGGTGAAGATCTTACTCCTCCCAAACTTCCCATCTACTTCTACCACTTCTAGAATTTTATATTTTACCCAGGTTGGGAGTGTCTTCCATTTTAGAATTTCCAGGCTCTGGTCCTTTGCCTTTTCCTTTAAAAACATTGTCATTAATAAAATCGTCGTCTACGATTTTTTAACTTCTGAGTTCCTCCATCTTCTGTACGAAAGCCATATTTCTGTATCTACCCCTAGGATTACTTCCCTTTAAGGTGTATCTACCATTGTTTACAAAAAGCCATATCCTTGTTTCTACCCTTAGACTAGTTGAAACACAATGAATTTGCATTTTATGATTGAGGTTGGGGTCCCTATGCAGGATTTGCGCTTAAAAATGGCAAATGCAGCAGAATCCTCCTTTTTACACTACTACCCACCATTATTTTTCTGTAGAAGCCATGGTATAGGCCAACCCACTGTTTTTAACATTTTTTTTTTAATTTTGAGCTCTAGTTTCAAATTTTTAACATAGCACCCTTCGATACCTTGCGCAAAAGATGCGCCTGTTTCTCCTCTACAAGACCTATATAGTCATACCCCGTGACACTCCTCATTGTTTTTCTCTAGAAGCCATGGAATAGGCCAACCCCCCTGTTTTTAACATTTTTTTTTTAAATTTTGAGCTCTAGTTTCAGATTTTTGAACATAGCGCCCTTCGATACCTTGCGCAAAAGATGCGCCTGTTTCTACTCTACAAGACCTATATAGTCGTACCCCGTGACACCCCTCATTATTTTTCTCTAGAAGCCATGGAATAGGCCAACCCCCCTGTTTTTAACATTTTTTATTTTTGAGCTCTAGTTTCAGATTTTTGAACATAGCGCCCTTCGATACCTTGCGCAAAAGATGCGCCTGTTTCTCCTCTACAAGACCTATATAGTCATATCCCGTGACACCCCTCATTCTTTTTCTCTAGAAGCCATGGAATAGACCAATCCCTCCCCCCAACCCCCCTGTTTTTAACATTTTTTTTTTTAATTTTGAGCTCAAGTTTCAGATTTTTGAACATAGCGCACTTCGATACCTTGCGCAAAGGATGCGCCTGTTTCTCCTCTACAAGACCTATATAGTCGTACCCCGTGACACCCTTCATTATTTTTCTCTAGAAGCCATGGAATAGGCCAACCCCCCTGTTTTTAACATTTTTTTTTTAATTTTGAGCTCTAGTTTCAGATTTTTGAACAAAGCGCCCTTCGATACCTTGCGCAAAAGATGCGCCTGTTTCTCCTCTACAAGACCTATATAGTCATGTCCCGTGACACCCCTCATTATTTTTCTCTAGAAGCCATGAAATAGGCCAACCCCCCTGTTTTTAACATTTTTTTTTTCTAATTTTGAGCTCTAGTTTCAGATTTTTGAACATAGCGCCCTTCGATACCTTGCGCAAAAGATGCGCCTGTTTCTCCTCTACAAGACCTATATAATCATACCCCGTGACACCCCTCATTATTTTTCTCTAGAAGCCATGGAATAGGCCACCCCCCCTGTTTTTAACATTTTTTTTTTTTAATTTTGAGCTTAAGTTTCAGATTTTTGAACATAGCGCCCTTTGATACCTTGCGGAAAAGTTGCGCCTGTTTCTCTTCTACAAGACCTATATAGTCATATCCCGTGACAACCCTCATTATTTTTCTCTAGAAGCCATGGAATAGGACAACCCCCTGTTTTTAACATTTTTTTTTTTTAATTTTGAGCTCTAGTTTCAGATTTTTGAGCATAGCGCCCTTCGATACCTTGCGCAAAAGATGCGCCTGTTTCTCCTCTACAAGACCTATATAGTCATATTCCGTGACACCGATCATTATTTTTCTCTAGAAGCCATGGAATATACACACTCCCTGTTTTTAACATTTTTTTTTTAAACTTTGAGCTCTTGTTTCAAATTTTTGAACATAGCGCCCTTCGATACCTTGCACAAAAGATGCGCCTGTTTCTCCTCTACAAGACCTTTATAGTCATATCCCGTGACACCCCTCATTATTTTTCTCTAGAAGCCATGGAATAGGCCAACCCCCCTGTTTTTAACAAGTTTTTTTTTAATTTTGAGCTCTAGTTTCAGATTTTTGAACATAGCGCCCTTCGATACCTTGCGCAAAAGATGGGCCCGTTTCTCCTCTAAAAGACCTATATAGTTATACACTATGACACCCCTCATTATTTTTCTCTAGAAGCCATGGAATAGGCCAACCCCCTGTTTTTAACATTTTTTTTTTAAATTTTGAGCTCTAGTTTCAGATTTTTGAACATAGCGACCTTCAATACCTTGCGCAAAAGATGCGCCTGTTTCTCTTCTACAAGACCTATATAGTCATACCCCGTGACACTCCTCATTATTTTTCTCTAGAAGCCATGGAATAGACTAACCCCCCTGTTTTTAACATTTTTTTTTTAAATTTTGAGCTCTAGTTTCAGATTTTTGAACATAGCGCCCTTCGGTACCTTGCGCAAAAGATGCGCCTGTTTCTCCTCTACAAGACCTATATAGTCATACCCCGTGACACCCCTCATTATTTTTCTCTAGAAGCCATGGAATAGGCCAACCCCCCTGTTTTTAACAATTTTTTTTTTATTTTGAGCTCTAGTTTCAGATTTTTGAACATAGCGCCCTTCGATACCTTGCGCAAAAGATGCGCCTGTTTCTCCTCTACAAGACCTATATAGTCGTACCCCGTGACACCCCTCATTATTTTTCTCTAGAAGCCATGGAATAGGCCAACCCCCCTGTTTTTAACATTTTTTAATTTTGAGCTCTAGTTTCAGATTTTTGAACATAGCGCACTTCGATACCTTGCGCAAAGGATGCGCCTGTTTCTCCTCTACAAGACCTATATAGTCGTACCCCGTGACACCCTTCATTATTTTTCTCTAGAAGCCATGGAATAGGCCAACCCCCCTGTTTTTAACATTTTTTTTTTAATTTTGAGCTCTAGTTTCAGATTTTTGAACAAAGCGCCCTTCGATACCTTGCGCAAAAGATGCGCCTGTTTCTCCTCTACAAGACCTATATAGTCATGTCCCGTGACACCCCTCATTATTTTTCTCTAGAAGCCATGAAATAGGCCAACCCCCCTGTTTTTAACATTTTTTTTTTCTAATTTTGAGCTCTAGTTTCAGATTTTTGAACATAGCGCCCTTCGATACCTTGCGCAAAAGATGCGCCTGTTTCTCCTCTACAAGACCTATATAGTCATGTCCCGTGACACCCCTCATTATTTTTCTCTAGAAGCCATGGAATAGGCCACCCCCCCTGTTTTTAACATTTTTTTTTTTTAATTTTGAGCTTTAGTTTCAGATTTTTGAACATAGCGCCCTTTGATACCTTGCGGAAAAGTTGCGCCTGTTTCTCTTCTACAAGACCTATATAGTCATATCCCGTGACAACTCTCATTATTTTTCTCTAGAAGCCATGGAATAGGACAACCCCCTGTTTTTAACATTTTTTTTTTTTAATTTTGAGCTCTAGTTTCAGATTTTTGAGCATAGCGCCCTTCGATACCTTGCGCAAAAGATGCGCCTGTTTCTCCTCTACAAGACCTATATAGTTATATTCCGTGACACCTCTCATTATTTTTCTCTAGAAGCCATGGAATATACACACTCCCTGTTTTTAACATTTTTTTTTTAAACTTTGAGCTCTTGTTTCAAATTTTTGAACATAGCGCCCTTCGATACCTTGCACAAAAGATGCGCCTGTTTCTCCTCTACAAGACCTTTATAGTCATATCCCGTGACACCCCTCATTATTTTTCTCTAGAAGCCATGGAATAGGCCAACCCCCCTGTTTTTAACAAGTTTTTTTTTAATTTTGAGCTCTAGTTTCAGATTTTTGAACATAGCGCCCTTCGATACCTTGCGCAAAAGATGGGCCCGTTTCTCCTCTAAAAGACCTATATAGTTATACACTATGACACCCCTCATTATTTTTCTCTAGAAGCCATGGAATAGGCCAACCCCCTGTTTTTAACATTTTTTTTTTAAATTTTGAGCTCTAGTTTCAGATTTTTGAACATAGCGACCTTCAATACCTTGCGCAAAAGATGCGCCTGTTTCTCTTCTACAAGACGTATATAGTCATACCCCGTGACACTCCTCATTATTTTTCTCTAGAAGCCATGGAATAGACTAACCCCCCTGTTTTTAACATTTTTTTTTTAAATTTTGAGCTCTAGTTTCAGATTTTTGAACATAGCGCCCTTCGGTACCTTGCGCAAAAGATGCGCCTGTTTCTCCTCTACAAGACCTATATAGTCATACCCCGTGACACCCCTCATTATTTTTCTCTAGAAGCCATGGAATAGGCCAACCCCCCTGTTTTTAACAATTTTTTTTTTATTTTGAGCTCTAGTTTCAGATTTTTGAACATAGCGCCCTTCGATACCTTGCGCAAAAGATGCGCCTGTTTCTCCTCTACAAGACCTATATAGTCGTACCCCGTGACACCCCTCATTATTTTTCTCTAGAAGCCATGGAATAGGCCAACCCCCCTGTTTTTAACATTTTTTAATTTTGAGCTCTAGTTTCAGATTTTTGAACATAGCGCCCTTCGATACCTTGCGCAAAAGATGCGCCTGTTTCTTCTCTACAAGACCTATATAGTCATATCCCGTGACACCCCTCATTCTTTTTCTCTAGAAGCCATGGAATAGACCAACCCCCCCTCCCCCTGTCTTTAACATTTTTTTTTTTAAATTTTGAGCTCAAGTTTCAGATTTTTGAACATAGCGCACTTCGATACCTTGCGCAAAGGATGCACCTGTTTATCCTCTACAAGACCTATATAGTCGTACCCCGTGAAACCCTTCATTATTTTTCTCTAGAAGCCATGGAATAGGCCAACCCCTCTGTTTTTAACATTTTTTTTTAAATTTTGAGCTCTAGTTTCAGATTTTTGAACAAAGCGCCCTTTGATACCTTGCGCAAAAGATGCGCCTGTTTCTCCTCTACAAGACCTATATAGTCATGTCCCGTGACACCCCTCAGTATTTTTCTCTAGAAGCCATGAAATAGGCCAACCCCCCTGTTTTTAACATTTTTTTTTTCTAATTTTGAGCTCTAGTTTCAGATTTTTGAACATAGCACCCTTCGATACCTTGCGCAAAAGATGCGCCTGTTTCTCCTCTACAAGACCTATATAGTCATACCCCGTGACACCCCTCATTATTTTTCTCTAGAAGCCATGGAATAGGCCAACCCCCCTGTTTTTAACATTTTTTTTTTAAATTTTGAGCTCTAGTTTCAGATTTTTGAACATAGCGTCCTTCGATACCTTGCGCAAAAGATGCGCCTGTTTCTCCTCTACAAGACCTTTATAGTCATATCCCGTGACACCCCTCATTATTTTTCTCTAGAAGCCATGGAATAGGCCAACCCCCCTGTTTTTAACATTTTTTTTTTTAATTTTGAGCTCTAGTTTCAGATTTTTGAACATAGCGCCCTTCGATACCTTGCGCAAAAATTGCGCCTGTTTCTCCTCTACAAGACCTATATAGTCATACCCCGTGACACCCCTCATTATTTTTCTCTAGAAGCCATGGAATAGGCCAACCCCCCTGTTTTTAACAATTTTTTTTTATTTTGAGATCTAGTTTCAGATTTGTGAACATAGCGCCCTTCGATACCTTGCGCAAAAGATGCGCCTGTTTCTCCTCTACAAGACCTATATAGTCGTACCCGGTGACACCCCTCATTATTTTTCTCTAGAAGCCATGGAATAGGCCAACCCCCCTGTTTTTAACAATTTTTTTTTTATTTTGAGATCTAGTTTCAGATTTTTGAACATAGCGCCCTTCGATACCTTGCGCAAAAGATGCGCCTGTTTCTCCTCTACAAGACCTATATAGTCATATCCCGTGACACCCCTCATTCTTTTTCTCTAGAAGCCATGGAATAGACCCCCCCCCTGTTTTTAACATTTTTTTTTTTTAATTTTGAGCTCAAGTTTCAGATTTTTGAACATAGCGCACTTCGATACCTTGCGCAAAGGATGCGCCTGTTTCTCCTCTACAAGACCTATATAGTCATACCCCGTGACACCCCTCATTATTTTTCTCTAGAAGCCATGGAATAGGCCAACCCCCCTGTTTTTAACATTTTTTTTTTAAATTTTGAGCTCTAGTTTCAGATTTTTGAACATAGCGCCCTTCGATACCTTGCGCAAAAAATGCGCCTGTTTCTCCTCTACAAGACCTATATAGTCATACCCCGTGACACCCCTCATTATTTTTCTCTAGAAGCCATGGAATAGGCCAACCCCCCTGTTTTTAACATTTTTTTTTTTATTTTGAGCTCTAGTTTCAGATTTTTGAACATAGCGCCCTTCGATACCTTGCGCAAAAGATGCGCCTATTTCTCCTCTACAAGACCTATATAGTCATACCCCGTGACACTCCTCATTATTTTTCTCTAGAAGCCATGGAATAGGCCAACCCCCCTGTTTTTAACATTTTTAATATTGAGCTCTAGTTTCAGATATTCGAACATAGCGCCCTTCGATACCTTGCGCAAAAGATGCGCCTGTTTCTCCTCTACAAGACCTATATAGTCATATCCCGTGACACCCCTCATTTTTTTTCTCTAGAAGCCATGGAATAGGCCAACCCCCCTGTTTTTAACATTTTTAATTTTGAGCTCTAGTTTCAGATTTTTGAACATAACGCCCTTCGATACCTTGCGCAAAAGATGCGCCTGTTTCTCCTCTACAAGACCTATATAGTCATATCCCGTGACACCCCTCATTTTTTTTCTCTAGAAGCCATGGAATAGGCCAACCCCCCTGTTTTTAACATTTTTTTTTTTAATTTTGAGCTCAAGTTTCAGATTTTTGAACATAGCGCCCTTCGATACCTTGCGCAAAGGATGCGCCTGTTTCTCCTCTACAAGACCTATATAGTCGTACCCCGTGACACCCTTCATTATTTTTCTCTAGAAGCCATGGAATAGGACAACCCCCTGTTTTCTAACATTTTTTTTTAAATTTTGAGCTCTAGTTTCAGATTTTTGAACATAGCGCCCTTCGATACCTTGCGCAAAAGATGCGCCTGTTTCTCCTCTACAAGACCTATATAGTCATGTCCCGTGACACCCCTCATTATTTTTCTCTAGAAGCCATGAAATAGGCCAACCCCCCTGTTTTTAACATTTTTTTTTTTAATTTTGAGCTCTAGTTTCAGATTTTTGAACATAGCGCCCTTCGATACCTTGCGCAAAAGATGCGCCTGTTTCTCCTCTACAAGACCTATATAGTCATACCCCGTGCCACCTCTCATTATTTTTCTCTAGAAGCCATGGAATAGGCCAACCCCCCTGTTTTTAACATTTTTTTTTTTAATTTTGAGCTTTAAGTTCAGATTTTTGAACATAGCGCCCTTCAATACCTTGCGCAAAGGATGCGCCTGTTTCTCCTCTACAAGACCTATATAGTCATATTCCGTGACACCCCTCATTATTTTTCTCTAGAAGCCATGGAATATACACACTCCCTGTTTTTAACATTTTTTTTTTAAACTTTGAGCTCTTGTTTCAGATTTTTGAACATAGCGCCCTTCAATAGCTTGCGCAAAAGATGCGCCTGTTTCTCTTCTACAAGACCTTCATAGTCATATCCCGTGACACCCCTCATTATTTTTCTCTAGAAGCCATGGAATAGGCCAACCCCCCCTGTTTTTAACAAGTTTTTTTTTAATTTTGAGCTCTAGTTTCAGATTTTTGAACATAGCGCCCTTCGATACCTTGCGCAAAAGATGGGCCCGTTTCTCCTCTACAAGACCTATATAGTCATACCCTGTGACACCCCTCATTATTTTTCTCTAGAAGCCATGGAATAGGCCAACCCCCCTGTTTTTAACATTTTTTTTTTTAATTTTGAGCTCTAGTTTCAGATTTTTGAACATAGCACCCTTCGATACCTTGCGCAAAAGATGCGCCTGTTTCTCTTCTACAAGACCTTTATAGTCATATCCCGTGACACTCCTCATTATTTTTCTCTAGAAGCCATGGAATAGGACAACCCCCTGTTTTCTAACATTTTTTTTTAAATTTTGAGCTCTAGTTTCAGATTTTTGAACATAGCGCCCTTCGATACCTTGCGCAAAAAATGCGCCTGTTTCTCCTCTACAAGACCTATATAGTCATACCCCGTGACACCCCTCATTATTTTTCTCTAGAAGCCATGGAATAGGCCAACCCCCCTGTTTTTAACAATTTTTTTTTTATTTTGAGCTCTAGTTTCAGATTTTTGAACATAGCGCCCTTCGATACCTTGCGCAAATGATGCGCCTGTTTCTCCTCTACAAGACCTATATAGTCGTACCCCGTGACACCCCTCATTATTTTTCTCTAGAAGCCATGGAATAGGCCAACCCCCCTGTTTTTAACATTTTTTTTTTTAATTTTGAGCTCTAGTTTCAGATTTTTGAACATAGCGCCCTTCGATACCTTGCGCAAAAGATGCGCCTGTTTCTCCTCTACAAGACCTATATAGTCATATCCCGTGACACCCCTCATTATTTTTCTCTAGAAGCCATGGAATAGGCCAAACCTCCTGTTTTTAACATTTTTTTTTAAATCTTCAGCTCTAGTTTCTGATTTTTGAACATAGCGCCCTTCGATACCTTGCGCAAAAGATGCGCCTGTTTCTCCTCTACAAGACCTTTATAGTCATACACTATGACACCCCTCATTATTTTTCTCTAGAAGCCATGGAATAGGCCAACCCCCCTGTTTTTAACATTTTTTTTTAAATTTTGAGCTCTAGTTTCAGATTTTTGAATATAGCGCCCTTCGATACCTTGCGCAAAAGATGCGCCTGTTTCTTTTCTACAAGACCTATATAGTCATGTCCCGTGACACCCCTCATTATTTTTCTCTAGAACCATCGAATAGGCCAACCCCCCTGTTTTTAACATTTTTTTTTTTAATTTTGAGCTCTAGTTTCAGATTTTTGAACATAGCGCCCTTCGATACCTTGCGCAAAAGATGCGCCTGTTTCTCTTCTACAAGACCTATATAGTCATACCCCGTGACACCCCTCATTATTTTTCTCTAGAAGCCATGGAATAGGTAAACCACCATTTCTGCAAATGTGTATCTTAGTTCAATTAAAAAATGACATCAAAGGTGCTGTATTTTACAGGAAAGGACTACTTTTACATACGTTCTAAATTGAAGTGGGTGCATTAGTGGTCTTACACCTACAAATAATCCCTTGACAGATGCAGATTTACTGTGGTACTGAATATTAGCCTAAAAAGAGATGCGACTTGTTTTATCAATGGATGGGATAAATACTATCTCACGATAGAGTTGAAATTGCAATATTTGGACGGAATGTCTGCCTTTTTAAATATTTTTCATTTGACGGCCGTTGCTGTCTTATTCATTTTTTCGGTTTTTAGATATATCGCCTTATTGTTCGCTGGCTTATTGTTCGCTAGTTATTGTTCGCTAGCTTCAGCCTGGTACTTTTATCTCAGAGTTTATCTTCCTTTACACAAATTTGTGTTTTGGCAGTTCTTTGATAGTATTTAGGTGTCTTGGTTTTTGGTGTCATTCGGTAGTTGCCTCATTGACGTTTACACCACACCTCCTTTTATCCTTATGAGTCTGTTAAACCTTGCCCATAAAGTCGAGACAAACTTAAGTTAAACAGTTGTTATTAACTAACTAAAGACTGTGTGTTGACCTCTCGATTTCATTCGTGTGATTCATATTGTGTGTTAAGTTGAGGGCATACTACACCTCTTCCTCTTATTTTAGCATTGTATGCATCTTTTTGTAAATTCATTGGGATGTCAAAGCGTTGACCGAAGTACATATTGCATGAAGCGCAGAATTTATACTAAAACTGTGCGTACGCTCAACGCCTTTACAATCCTATGATATTACAAAAAGAATCATTCAATCCTTATAACTGCATTTGTATTCTACAGCCATCAAATTAATTAGTTAAGACAAACCTTTCGTTTGTTTTTCTGCGAATTGTTTAAACGTTATCGCGGAGAGACCATGCAGTCATATATTACATTTTATACGGAAATGAAATATAACTTTTGGAATGCATGCCTCGGCCAGTGCAAATTACGGAATGGAATAAACCTTATGTGTAATGTAATTATTCATGAAATAAAACCCTAAATCAATGAAACCAACGCTACATATAGAAAACAAAGGATTGAGCAACCCCACAAAAAAAAAAAAAAAAACCGTGACGGTTAATGTCAGGTGCTCCTGAAGGGTAAGCAGATCCTGCTCCGAATGTGGCACCCGTCTTGCTGGTCATAAATAAAAATTCGATGTTAGTCCAATACTGTCCCATTTGATAATGTCAGAATCCATTAAAGAGGACGGGATTGAGACGACGACAATTGGAACATTTCCGTGGTCATTTGTGACACAGGTATTCATTTTAAGGATGTACACCTCTGAGGAGCCAAACATTTCTAGAATTAAACTTTTTTTCTTAACCTGAATTTTGGGTTCATATGACTGTAATAAAATAATTGGTGAAGAAAAAATCTTGTGGTGGTGCACTTCTTTTTTTGCTACGGCCCTTTGAAAGTACCCAATTTTGATGATTTTCCCATTTTTCATCAATTTTTACCTATTTTTGGACTATTATCACGAAAAAAAATCACAGTTCCACAATTAAACTTGTTTTCATACTTTCAGTAAAGATGATGTGGACCAATCTTAATAAATTTAACTAAAAAAAACTGTAGGAAGGTGTTAATATAAGAAAGTTTTATCATATTTTGATGCTTTTTCGTGTCAAATTTACAATGCTGTCAATTTTGTCAATTTGTGATTTTTCTTTATTTTAAGAACAAAATGCATATTATTTCAACTTCTTTGTTATAAATGATTGAAGAAAAAAATATATATAAGAAATTTGAAAAGAAAAAAGTGATATGGGATGTACATGTTTCTGGTAAAATCATTTCTTGTAATCCTCACACATTTTCTAAAATTTTGGTTAAAAAGACTGACTTGATTGGTAATAAAATTTGAAAAAAAATTATGATAACTACACAATTTTTTCACAGAGTTAAGTTTGATTATAGCGTTTTTTAAATTCATTAATATTTTTCACTTGTATCACATGTTTTGGAAATAATTCCAGAACGAGATTTCAAAGAGACTGAAACGTCAGAAGAATACATCCTTAAAACAAGCAACACAATTATGAGGAAGTTCGTAAAATATTCAAAGGTCGACTAAATATATCATTCAAACATATAATTAGATTGTTCCATTTATAACAACCAACTTGTTGCATTTCGAGAGCACACAAGATCATCCCAGTTTTTGTAAGGTATGTACTGGTTATATTTTAAAGCTACAGAGGAGTTTATAGCGTTCTACATTATCTGCGATGAAGTAAAATCATAGTGTAATAATTCTTTTTTTTTCTCCGATACAGCAACCATATATGTTTCTTGTTGCAAAATTTCTTAGCTTCTTTATAATGTATTGCCTTCATCGTCATCGACTTCATTTTTCTTCCACTTGACCAAAACTTTGTCTATATAATTTTAGTAACACATATTCATGTAATATTTTTGGGTACATGTAATTCGATACATCCTTCGTTTTGAAACAGAATTATTTTTGGCATTTTTACTCTGATTATCAGGTTTTACACACTGAACTGTACTCTCTCTCTCTCTCTCTCTCTCTCTCTCTCTCTCTCTCTCTCTCTCTCTCTCTCTCTCTCTCTCTCTCTCTTGTACAGTGAGGGTTGTAAAGTATCAAACTATCGGCATACAGGAAGTGGCTACACGGCAGATGTAAAAACTGCTTACTTATTACAACCCAAAGTTATCAAGCTGCATACCATATATTAAATCATTCCATTCTATAGAAGCCAAGAAAACTTTGACGAAAGTGTTCTTTTGGACAGACGGACAGACAAACGGACGGACGGACTCGAGCGTTAGGAAAACTGCTAACGCTTTCGGCGACGCAGGTAATAAATTTCACAAATGTTTTTGTTTGACACTTATTTTACATATTTTGTGTCGCTTGTCACTTTGATATTTGTTGAGTAAAGTGTTTTTTAAGACTAATATTCAAATGAGATATTAAGTTTTTCTTATCATATGACCAAGTAAAAGGATATTGTTTATAAGGTTTATCTTGCTGCATTTTAATTTCAAAAATTGAGTCAGTTCGATGGACATGATATTCTCGTTTACAATGTATGACATTTTGTCATGTCGGGATTTTTAAATCTAACTATACGGTATGGGTTTTGCTCATTGTAGAAAGTTTTCTGGTGAACTGTAGTTGCTTACATCTTCGCCATTTGACCTGTGGTGAATATATGTCTCGTTGGCACTCATACCACATCTTTTAATATTTATATGAATTTGGCAGCTGATGCCATCAAAACCAAATTCTTTTTAATCACAAAAATATAAACTATAACAACCAAGACAGTGTTTTTGACTATCAAATTTTGATTTATAATTTGAAAAAACATTTATCGAAATTACAAAAGTCCCATAGGAATCACTCAAAAATGTATATATCACTAAAAAGTATCATCGTGGCACTGGATGCAAACTTATGAACTGTTAACTTTCCATTTCTATGTAGCAACATCCTAGCAGCACCTGCATATGGAGTATAAATCTCCCAGTTGATACGATATTACAGAGCCGAATTGTATTACCTATCGTGATTTCCTTGACAAAGGATTGCTGCTTACAAGGAAGCTATTGAACCAAGATTTATAAGTGATGAAGTTGAATCATCCCTTCGAAAATTTTACGGATGCCATCACGAGTTGGTTGACCGTTATGTAATATGTTTCACAGATGACGACGGATGTGTTCAAATTGTTGTAACCACAATCCTGTCCTCTCTTCCTCGAATGTAACCTACCGAATTATACTTATCACCAGGTTTGTACTTACATCAGCATCAGGACTGGTAACACATGTGGAGCAGGATCTGCTTACCATTCCGGAGCACCTAAGATCACCCCCACTTTTTGGTGGGGTTTGTGTTGCTCAGTCTTTGATTTTCTATGTTGTGTTTTGTGTACTGTTATTTTTCTTTTAGTCGTTTTTAATTGCCATGGCATTGTCAGTTTGTTCTCGATTTATGAGTTTGAATATCTCTTTGGTATCTTTCGCTTCTCTTTTATAAACAATTGACACGATATTTGTAGATTAAATAAATAATATTATTCTAATCTATTCAAGAAAATAACCTCATTAGCCAAAAGCTAACCTTAATCCTGAGGATTCTCAAAACATCCCAAATATTCATAAGATATACAATTAACATTATAGAATTATATTATATACACATATACATAATTATTCATAAATTATGAACATTTACAACAAATGTTCAACAAAGTATTCAGAGATCATGGCTCATTATTTAGTTCTAAACCATAATGTATATCATTAATCTTTAAACTGCTTTAAACTTTGCAATATTTTACTTCTGATGGCAAATTATTTCATATTTGTTGACCAAATGTATGTTTTCTGTAGTTGTTAAGTGTTATTGTTTATGGAACGTTAATGATAAGTTTCAGCATTTGCATATTGAAATTCTTCTAATAAATAATGGCGATAGAGAGTGACTCCTTATGCATATAATTAGCAAAATATAAACAGACACAATCATATAAATATCATGTGCAAAAGCACAATGTCGATTTTTCTGTTTAGTTTTCTATCATAATTTTATTAAAATTAATTTGAAAAATGTAACCAAACTGGCTGCTAATAACGAATACATATTTCAACCTACTAGTATACTTTCAAAATCGTAGCTTTTGTCCCTTTAAAGATAGAACATTGAACTTTTACTTTTGATTTTGGTAAAATTGAGTTAATGGGTTCCTGCCTCAGTTCATGTTGTCGATCAAATATCCTAATTAATATATATATTCATACCCTTTAACATTACTTAAACAACTGTAAATTGACACAGAAAATAGATGTTCATCCTAATTTCGTTTTGGTATACATTATAGGGAAACCAGTTGTTGTATTTTGTCATCAGCTCAGTAGTCGGTGCTTCGATACGGACAAGATTTATAATATACAGTTCTTTTTAAAATTGCCCGTTGATAATTTATAAATTATCAAAAAACCAAGGATCTAACTTTCTAAAGTAAAATTGATCGTTGTGACTTAGACTATCTCCCTCAGGCCCATTTTGACCAAAAAGCTTTTCACGTATGCAAGTTTTTAAACATCAGTGACTTTCAAATATTTGTGTTTGACCGTTCCTGATGAAGAAAATATAGAAATTATATTTATAATTTATAAGTATATCTGTGTTTAAAGGGTCATTAGATTTCAAATTCTCAACTCAAGTTCTCATATTTGATTTTCTAAAACGTATTCCAAATTACAAATGTCCAAAAGAAGCAACTAACAGTGCATCGAATAGTCATGATGTTTCAGCATTTCGCGTGTATTTTAGACTA